GGCTGCCATGTGGCTATTTTGCCAGGATATGAGTTTTATCAATGGTGTCCCGCTTTACCAATGTTAAAATCTGGTCACCTTAGATTAAGAGCAAGTTTCAGAATCTCTTTTGACATCCACTTTGATCTTTTCTTTCTTTTTAAAAAAAATCATTTTATTGGGGCCTCGTACCATTCTTATCACATTCCATCCATCCATCCATTGTGTCAAGCACATTTGTGCATTTGTTGCCATTATCATTCTCAAAACATTTGCTTTCTACTTGAGCCCTTAATATCAGCTGCTCAGTTTTCCCCTCTCCCCACTCCCCGTCCCTCATGAGCCCTTCATAATTCGTAAATTATTATTATTTTGTCATATCTTACACTGTCAATTGTCTCGCTTCACCCACTTTTCTGTTGCCAATCCCACAGGGAGGAGGTTATATGTAGATCCTTTCTACTCCGCCTTCCCTTCACCCTCCAGTTATCACCACTCTCACCACTGGTCCTGAAGGATTCATCTGTCCTGAATTCCTGTTTTTCCAGTTCCAATCTGTACCAATGCATCCTCTGGTCTAGCCAGATTTGTAGGGTAGATTTGGGATCATGATAGTGGGGGGAGGAAGCATTTAGGAACTAGAGGAAAGTTGTATGTTTCATCATTGTTACCCTGCATCCTGACTGACCCATCTCCTCCCACAACCCTTCAGTAAAGGAGTGTCCAGTTGCCTACATATGGGCTTTGGGTCTATGATGTTCTTGATGTGATCCTACATATCATCCTGTCTTCTGTTATTACTCTCAATACATCAAATCTGTTTCTGAAATCCAGGTGGGTTATACTCTAGGCTTTATTTTGCTTTTTGTGGTCTTGTTTTTATGTTTTTCAGCTTTGAGGTGAACTTGAATATGAGCAATTGATGGTCTGTTCCACAATAAGCCCCTTGGTCTTACTTTAGCTGCATCTATTGAGCTTTCATAGTCTCTTCCCACCGATATAGTCAGTTTGATTTCTGTGTCTTCCATCTGGGGAAGTCTAACTATATAGACACCGTTTGTGTTATTGAAAAGGAGTATTTGCAATGAAATAGTCATTGTCTTGCAAAGTTCTATCACCAATACTATTTTTCCCAACTCCTGTTCTTTCCTCTTTATTTACAACTTTTGTATTCCAATAACTAATAATTATCAATGTATCTTGATTATATGTTTAATCAATTTCTGATTGAAGAGAGTAAAATTCTTCAATTACTGTATCACTAGCTTTATTGGTTGTTTTATAAAATTTGATTAATAATTATATAGACTGAATTCCCTGTATGCAGATAGATATTGTCCTGTTACAGAGTGTATTCTAGTTCACACTAGATCTTGAAATGTCCTCTTTGATGATGAATTGGATGTCATTCATTGGGCACTCATTCATTGGTTCTATCATTCATAGTAAACTGTATCATTGTCTGATTCAAAATGGCCCAAACTAATTCATTTTGATCAGTAACACATAGAATATTGATTTTTATGTGTCTCCTTTCATTTTTTGTTGACTTCCAATTTTATTAGAGTTATAGTTCATTTATTCCAGATTACAATTAATAGATGCTTATAGCCATTTCTTCTCATTTTGAGTCACATTCCATCAAAAACGAAGGTCTTAAAGGCCTGAAGGTAAACAAGTGGCCATCTAGCGCACAAGCAACAAAGCCCACATGGAAGAAGCATACCAGCTTATGCGATCTTGAGGTTTCGAAGGGATCAGGTACAAAAAATCATCATCATCAGAACAAAAAATCATATCATAGTGAATGAGGTGGGGAGTGCGGAGTAGAGACCCAAAGCCCATTTGTGGGCCACTGGACATCCCCTTACAGAAGGGTCTTGGGGAGGAGACAAGCCAGTACTGGTACGATGTAGCAATGATGAAACATACAACTTTCCTCTAGTTCCTAAATGCTTCCTCCTCCCCCACTATCATGATCCCAATTTTACATTACAAATCTGGCTAGACCAGAGGATATACACTGGTACAGATAGGATCTGGAAACACAGGGAATCCAGGACAGATGATCCCTTCAGTACCAGTGGTGTGAGTGGCAATACTGTGTGTGTGGAGGGAGGGTGGGTTCGACAGTGGATACTAATTACAAAGATCTATGTGTGACCTCCTCCCTGGGCGACGGATGACAGAAAAGTGGGTGAAGGGAGATGTCGGACCGGGAAAGATATGACAAAATAATAATTTAAAAATTATCAAGGGTTCATGAGGGAGGGGGGTCAGAGAGGGAGGAGAAAAATGAGGAACTGATACCAGGGGCTTAGGTGGAGATCAAATGTTTGGAGAATGATGAGGGCAATGAATGTACAAATATGCTTTACACAATTGATGTATGTATGGATTGTGATGAGTTATATGAGCCCCCAATAAAAGGATTTAAAAAAAAGAAATTCCCAAAGACTTTTTCCATTCAAGTCACTTAGGTGGACTCTATTTTGAGAAGACCATTCTTCCTCAGTCTTATTCTGAGGACCTTCTGACCTGAGGGGCGCATCTTCTGGCACTCTCTCTGGCAACGTTCTGCTGCTGCTCATGAGCTTTTCCGTATCCGATGATGTTGCGTTGTTATCAATATGGATTTCAGTAGCTAATTCCTCTGAAGTGCACAACGTATTCCTTCTTTATTGTCTCTTCTTAGTCTGGAAGGTCTTTTGAAACCTGGTCACAGGCTGATGACCCTACTGGTAGTTGAAATATGAGTGACAGAGCTTCCAGCATCACAGAAACACAGCAGCCACCACAGAACATCAAATTGACAATTTGCAGGGTTTGGGCTTTAGATAATATTTTTCATTTTCTTCTGTTTGGTTTGTCAATTGTTCTGTAAGTGTTTGGTGGAATTCTTCAGTAAGACATCTAGTCCAGGCATTTTTTTTTGTTTCTGGGAGAAGTTTGATCACTGATATGATGGATTCCATTTTTATGAGTCTGTTGAGACTTTCCATTTCCACTTGAGTCACTTTCTGTAGGTATATGCGTCTAAGAAATGGGAACATTTCATGTGGTTTATCCAATTGGTTATGGTTCAGCTTTTAAAAAATAACTTTATATAATAATTCTTTCTATTTCTATTGGGTCAATGAGAATACTTTTCTTTCATATTTTTAGGGCTATTTTTGTCTTCTTAGTGTAGCTAAAGGGTTATTTTATTGTTCATGTCAAAAAACCAATTTCTAATTTTGCTGATTTTATTTTTAGAAATTTTTTTGGGCTGTGATCTTTACTATTTCCTTTATTCTAGTAGGCGCAGGCTTAGTTTGAGCTACTCTTTCTAGTTTCTGGAGTTTTTGCATGCGCCAATGATTGAAGTCTTTCTTCATAAAATTTCCTCTGAATACTCATTGTATACTGTGTTTTGTTATGTTGTGTGCTCGTTTTCCTTAGAAGCTAGAACATGTTTAATTTGTTTTTTGACTAATTCCTTGATTTATTGTTGGTTTAATAGTGTCTTGTATAATATACATTTGTTTGCTCATTTTTTATTTATTACTGTTAGTTGTTTTTTGCTTTGCATCAAATCAGTTCTTGGTAATATTTGATATCACAGCAACATAAGAGGTAATTTCTTATTATGTGATGCTAATGTGGAAGTCTTGTAGTTTACTGTTTTGCATACACACTTAAGTATGTAATTGTGCTAACGTGGAAGTCTTGTAGTTGACTGTTTTGCATACAGATTGCCTAACGAAATAAGTAATGATCACGAGAGATCCATGACTTATCTTGAATGTCAATGTCCCCAATCCTTGTTACTTTTCTGAAAATATAAAATGCTCTTGGAATGGATTCTTTAGTTTAGTTGAGAGTTCTGATGTGCTCACTTTTAAAATGTACAAAATTCGCATGTTTTAAAATCTGATTTCGACTTATCTTGTCATGTCAAATCTGACTTTTCTTCTCCCCCCTTCCACGCCTTCACAGGATGATGAAGTAGTTCTGCAGTGTACAGCAACCATCCACAAAGAACAACAGAAACTATGTTTAGCAGCAGAAGGATTTGGCAACAGACTTTGTTTCTTGGAGTCCACTTCAAATTCAAAGGTAGGATAAATTTATTTGTGGCTATTCAGATATCTACATTTTACTTAATGCATTAAAGTTATTAATGAGCATTGTACTATTTTATGTGGAATATGTAACACTAGGGTAGGTCACAAAGTATTGCTATTAGGGTCCCAGTTCATACACGCACAGGTTTATTAAAAACAAAGTATGTTTAAATATTTCAGTATATGGTTGCCAATGACTGCTCTTAGTAAAATATTTTTCACAGTCGTGAAAACTATATGTGATATTTGTCTTGTTTGAGTGTAAAAGAATAAAAGTATTAGGTTTGAAATATTCAGTAGGCTGACAATAAAGAGAAGTTACACAAAATAAGGTTATTAAACATTGGACTGCTAACTAAAAGGTCTGTGATTCAAACCCACCTACCTCTCTATGGAATAAAGATGAGGCTGTCTTCTCCCATAAAGATTTATGGTTTCACAGCCCCTAGGAAGCAGTTCTTCCTTTGTCGTCCAGGAGCTCTATGAGTTGGAATTGACCCAGTGGCAGTGGGTTTGCTTTGGTTTTGAATGTGCACTCCCTCCAAGAACTCTGCAGTCGAAGAGAGTCTTGTCACTAGGTGAAGTTGTGGTGTGCTGGACTTCTGAGGGATTTGAGCTTCTTTTCCCACCTGCACTATTCAGAGTCCGAACAGCTTTCCTGAATGATGATGGACTCGTCTAGCTAATAAAAATTTTTACACTTTCACATGCTCGTTAATGCCCTCATAGGGACTTTTAAGAGAAATGTTTTCACGGCAAATGTGATGCCATTATACTGGGACCTAAATTAATGGGTTTTAACTATGCAATGACAACCCTGAGCTACTGACATATTCATAGTGGGTGTTAGCTTGCTAGGATGGAATGCACAAGTCAAGGTTTAACTATTTAAAAAAAAATCATTTTATTAGGGGCTCATACAACTCCTATCACAATCCATACATACATCAATTGTGTAAAGCACATTTGTACATTATTGCCCTCATCACTCTCAAATCATTTGCTCTCCACTTAAGCCCGTGGCACCAGCTCCTCATTTTTCCCCTCCCTCCGCACTCCCACCTCCCTTATGAACTCTTGATAATTTATCAATTATTATTTTGTCATATCTTGCACTGCCTGACATCTCCCCTCACCCACTTTTCTGTTGTCTGTCCCCCAGGGAGGAGGTTATATGTAGATCCTTGTAATCGGTTCCCCCTTTCAAACCCACCCTCCCGGTATTGCCACTCACACTACTGGTCCTGAAGGGAATCATCCACCCAGGATTCCCTGTGCTTCCAGTTTCTATCTGTACCAGTGAACATCCTCTGGTGTAGCCAGACTTGCAAGGTAGAATTCGGATCATGATATTGGTGGGGGTGAGGGGGAAGCATTTAGGAACTAGAGGAAAGTTGTATGTTTCATCGTTGCTACATTGAATCCTGACAAGGTTTAACTTTCAATAATGTTCTGAAAATAAAAGTATTTGCTAAGATGCCTCATATTATGATAAATATTGGTTGAGTCATTCTGAGGATTTCTGTGTTATTCACTTTTTCATGGTGGAAGCAAAAAGGTGCTGGTTTTTGAGTCTGGGAAACTCTGATTTTTCGATCCGGGTTTTCACTTAATTTCTATTGAATTTGGAAGAGTCATTTGATATCAAATACTTTCTTTGCATTGAGTGTAACATGGAGAGAGCTGCTGTGTTTACTGAGGAGGGTTATTGAAACCACCACAGAATACGACTTATAAATAAACAGTAAAGATTTGGGATAATTTTTTCCCTCTTGTTTTGGTATACCAGTTTGCGGTTGAGTCAACTCCTACGTGTGGCGACTTCAAATGTTACAATGCAAAACTGTCCTCCATATAATAACAATAACTTACTGTCCTTATGTCAATTCTGACTCATGGCAATGCTATACGATAGGGTAGAAGTGCCCCTGTGGGTTTCTGAGGCTATAACCCTTTAGAAATAGAAAGTCCTTTCTCCTCCAGAATGGCTACTGGTTTCGAACCACTGAACTTGTGGTTAGCAGCCCAATGCATAAGTACTATTCAACCAAGGTTCTTGTCCTGCAATTGTTTTAAATTATTTTTATTTAATTAGATCGCCAGGTTTTGTTTTTTATTTTGAGATGCCTCTGAATGGACTAAACCTCTAAACTTTTCATTGGCAGCATGAACTAACTGTTTGCACCACCCAGGAACTGCCTGGAAGGGCTATTAAAAGTTAAAGACCTAATACAAGATCTAGTTAATTTAAAAAATATTCTTCATTTTTTATCATTGTTACAACCCTCCTAAATGGCTGCATTCCCGTATTCTAGTAAACATGGCTTTCTGTTGGTAAAAGGCCGATTGTGGTTCAGTGGCAGATTCTCACCATCCACGCACGAGAAACTTGAGTTTTATTCCTCACCAATGCAATTTATGAACCAGATGAACCGTGGTGGGTATTTGCTTGTTGCTGTGAGGCTGAAAGGAATTTAGTTGAGCTTCTAGAAGATTATGATAGAGTAGGAAGAAAGCCTGGTCTTCTTCTTCTGAAAACAAGACAATGAAAATCCTGGGTAGCACAACAGTTTTATTCCCATAAATCATGGGATGGAACAGACCGGAACAACAGTTTGTTTAGTTGTTCACAGGATCAGCACAAGTCAGGGTTTCTCACTGGAGCCGACATCAAGCTAGTAAGATGTATTTTCTTATGTGTTCAAAATGGCACATATATATATGATTTTTTACATTTGCCCATTTTTTTAGCATCAAAAGGAGATGGGAGGAATACATAGAATCAATTAGCACCAAAAAGGACTAATTAACATTCAACAATTTCAAGAAGTAGCATATGGTGAAGAGCCAATGGTACTTAAGGAAGAAGTCCAAGCTTCACTCATGGCATTAGTAAAAAACAAGGTTCTAGGAATTGGAAGAATACCAATTGAAATGCTTTAATAAGCTGATGAAGCATTGAGGACACTTACTTATTTATACTAAGTAATTTAGAAGACAGCTACCAGGCCAAACAATGGGAAGAAATCCATATTTATGCCCATTCCAAAGAGAAGTGACTCAGGAGAATGCAATATCATTAGTAGCACATACAAGTAAAATTTTGTTGAAGATCATTCAACAATTTTTGCACTAGTATATTTATAGGGAGCAACAGTTGCAGCAATACCTTGACAGAGAGCTGCTAGAAATTCAATCCATATTCAGAAGAGGATGTGGCATGTGTGAGATCACCATCGATTTCAGATGGATCTTTGTAGAAAGCAGAAAATATCAGAAAGATGTTATTTATTTATTTTACTATACAAGCTCTTTTGACCTTATGGATCATAACAAAGTGTGGGTAACATTGAGAAGAGTAGGACTTCCAGAACACTTCATTGTGCTCAAGCATGACTTGGACACAGATCAAGAGGCAGTTGTGCCAACAGAACAAAATAATACTGCATGGTTTAAAATAATGAAATGTGTGTGCCAGGATTATATCCTTTCACTATACTTATTAATCTGTATGCTGAGCAACTAATCCAAGAAGTTGGACTATATGAAGAAGAACATGGTATTCCATATTGGAAAGTTTGTATATACAGATGACATATATACAGATGAAACATTTATATATACAGAAGGTTTATATATACAGCAAGATCAAGGACTATAGCCTTCTATATCGATTTCAACTCAATATAAAGAAGACAAAAATCCTCGCGACTGGACCAGTAGACAACATCATGATAAATGGAGAAAAGATCAATGGCATGAAGGAAATCAGTTAGCTTGGGTCCACACTCAATATTCATGGAGGCAGTAGTCAAGACATCAAACAATACATTATTGCATTGGGTAAATCTGCTGTGCAAAAACTCTTTAAAGTATTGTAAAGCAAGGATGTCAGTTTGTGAACTGAGATCTTTCAATTACCTTATATGCAAGTGAAAGTTGGACAATGAATAACGAAGATCAAAGAAGAATGGATGCATTTGAATTATGGTATTGGTGAAGAATGTTGAAAGTACCATGAACTGCCAGATGAACAAACAAAACTTCTTTAGACAAAGAAGTGCTAGAATGGTCCTTACAAGCAAGGATGGCACGACTTTGTCTTATGTACTTTGGTCATGTTATTAGGGAACACCAGTCCCTTGGAAAGAACATTATGCTTGGTAAAGTAGAAACGCCAAAAACAGTCACTGCTATCGAGCTGATTCTGATTCATCGCAACCATATAGGATTGAGTAACCTGTCCCTGTGAATTTTTGAGACTCTAACTATGGCCGTAGAACTCGTGGTTAGCATGCTAGCTCATAACCAATATGCAACCACGCTACTTGCTAAAGGAGGGAGTCAGTGAAAAATAGAAGAGACCGTGGGAAGATGCATTGACACAGTGGATGTAGTAATGGGTTCAAACACAGGAACTGTTGAGAGGATGGTGCAGAACGAGTCGCTGTTTTGTTCTGTTCATAATTGCTAAGAGTCAGAACTGACCCAACAGCATCAGCTAATAGACCAGATTTGTGTGTCTCATTTCAAATTAAATGAGTTTTCAGAAGTTTTTTGAAAACTCATATAAATATAATAGGAAAATTAAATTAGGATGTTGCCTACTCAGGAAAAAAATTCATTTTAGGTTCAATATGAGTTTAAAAGACAAAGTTAGTTTCACACATTCTAAGTAATCAGTCTTAAAAGTAAGCTTTTTGGAAAAGGAGTTGCGTTTTTATCATATCATCATACGATGTGTTTATTTCTAAAAATGTAAAGTTATATAGGTTAAAACAAGGTGTTAGCCTGCTAGGTCTTCAAGTTGCTCATCCGAATTTGAATATCTTATGACAAATGAATTGTTAGTTTTTTGTATCGATTCATTCTGAGCTGTGTGAGTTGTTTATTGTTACAAGTGTATTGTAAATTGGAAAAAAGTAGAGATGAAATGCTTCAGATGGAAAAATTCTGTTGAACAGAAATGAGTGGTTTAAACTAGTAATCTCTGATACTTTATGTCTTTTTTACTTTTCTTTATGGATTATGCTTTGTTTTAAAAAGAAAAAAAATAATTTGTGAAGGAAGTGAAATTGGTGCAACAATGTACTTTTCACAAAGTACTAGAAATTTACCAGACCAATCATTCTTTAACCATGTGTAGCCATAAACGTACACCATTGTGTAATGTGGATGAAATCAATACAAACTGATGTTAGCTTGGAGAAAATAGAAGGATGATTATTTTAATAACTGGTAATAGTATTGAATCTCATTATTTGATTAAGCCTGACACCAACCATTAGATTCTATTATGGTATTTGTCACATGAAATATTTAGAAATATGTAGTTTTATTATCAAATCATTGTAATCCTATAAAAATCCAGCAATAGGAAACCAATCAATATAGGGCATGTAGTGAAAGATGTTGTGAATAGAAAGAGTGTATTCGAATCTACTTAATCCATTGCTTTTAAATGCTTTGCTGAAATTTTTTGTTTTTAAATGTTGACTCTGATTTTCTAAAAAATATCAGCATAAATAAAAATATTTAGACCATCGCGTAAATCAGTGTTTTCCAGTGTGGGCAATACTGCTCCTAACAGGTGCTGGAGTAATCCAGGTGCCCTGGTGTTATAGTGGGTATGTGTTGGGCTGCTAACCACAAGGCCAGTAGTTTGAAACCACTTGTTTGGAGAAAGACAAGTCTTCCTACTGAGTTAAAGAATTACTTTCTTGGAAACCCACTGGGGCTAGTCTACACTGTTAGGGTGATTATGTGTCAGAATTGGCAGTGAGTTGATATTTGCATTCAGAGCTCTGGTAATGCAGTGGTTTAAACTCTTGGCTGTTAACCAAAAGGTTGGTGGTTCAAACCCACTAGTCTCTGTGCTGGAGAAAGATGTGGCAGATATCTTCTGTAAGGATTACAGTATGGTAAACCCTATGGGGGCACTTTTCCTTTGTCCTATAGGTTTGCTATAATCTTTGTTGTAAAGTAAGATGACAGGAACAAGAATATGGCAAACAAACAAACAAATCTACCTAGAAAATTCCTGTGGAACAGGGGAATCTTTGGGAAAATATTCATTTCTGGGATGGGATTATGGTGAAATACTATGGCTTGAGTTTTATGGAAGCATAAAAGAAAAAAAGAAATGAAAATCTTACTTATTGCAGTAAATGTCAATGGAGTTGAACATATCTGGCCGCCTCTGGCTTCCCTATTGCCACAAGGCAGGGGTCAGACATGCCTCCTTGCTTCATCCTTTGTCATCTATTCTGACACCAACCATTCCTCCCCTTTCACTCTACATCTATGCTGAGTTCAATAATTCATTGCACTGGCCACACAGAATTCACAGAGAGCATTCACTATTAATGGAGTGTTTTAGGGAAGTCAATAGGTGACCACAAGTTAAAGATCATCAAACAGTAAGGATACAGTCATTGGTCTCTTACACCAGCTGCCAAGTCTATATTTCCAGTTTTCATCCTTTCAGCCACATGCTCCCTTGCTTCCATGGACCTGGAAGCCAGCCTGCCTGTCCCACTGTCCCACAGTTCCATAGTCTTGGGCCAGATAAGAAGAAGGTACCTCATAGTTTTTGCCATGCTCATTGAGTCTCTTATACACAATGCTGATATATCTGGTTTCTGCAATCTCTTCCACTTCAGAAAGAGATCTTGGCCATGCTCTCCCAAGGCCCTTGTGGTTGCTGCTTCAAAGATGGCTCATCCTTATAGCTAGGGTGGTGGTAATGACAACCGACCAATCCCCTCTCTTAGTGTTGCACATATCCTATTTGCATAGCCCTTTAACCTCCAATCATTTAGTTGGGGTTACAGAGACGTAGGTGCAAGAGCTGTATTAAGAAAGTTATTCCATATGCACATATCCTATTTGATATATATTTTTTCAGTATACAAGTAAATTGGATAAACACCACGGATTTATTGTCACTGGAAAAAAATACACATTTTAAAGGGGTCTCTATGTGGGAAAGATAATTTTCAATTATTTGCTAAGGTAAATGTTGGTGGTTTGAATTCACCCAGTGAAGCAGTGGAAGAAAGACCTGTTTACCTATTCTTGTAAAGATTATAGTCAAGGAATCCCATGGAGTAGTTCTACTCTGCAACATGTAGGGTTGACTGAAGTTGGAAGGGACCGACTTCATGGCCATGATTTTTTTTTTTATTTTTTTTAATTTTTTTATTTTTTTAAATTTTATTTATTTATTTATTTATTTTTAATCAATTTATTGGGGCTCATACAATTCGTCACAATACATAGATCAATTGTGTAAAGCACATCTATACATTTGTTGCCCTCATCATTCCCAAAATTTTCTTGCACTGCAGCCTGGTTTATGTCTGCCAGCTGATAAATCTTAAAAACAAAAAAGCAAAAAAAAATCTCTTAACTTTTGGACAAGTTGGAGGTTAATATCTTCATTGTTTGCAAAAAAATGTTGGTCTCAAGAAGTTATAGTTCTTTGCCAAACATCACTCAACAGATGGAGTGACGAAACAAAAACAAACCTGCTTTAACTCGGATCATCTGTTCTATACGAAGTGTCATCTAAACATTTCTGTATGAGTATTTGAAAAAAAATCTGTGATTCTGAGCTTTCAGTTGGATGTAAGAATTTTTAAACTTAGGCAGATAAAATTATATTTCATTGACATTTCAAGTTCAGGATCACTAATTTGCTTTAAGTATTTTCTACCTAATAGATGAAGAAGCTCATGCTGACTTACCGACAGTCCCTTCCCTCATTATGCACAGACCCTGGATTATATATGTGCTGAGAAATTGATTATACTCTTTCCCTGTGCTTTTACTCTATCAACCACTTATTGTTGAAGTTTATTTTTACATACCTGTGTCACTTTGAAGGTTAGTTAGGACATAGTTCAAAAGGCAGTGTAATAAAACTGGCTTTGGTAATTGACCCTGTTGTTCTTGTTGCTATGATTTTGGGCCCTGGCTCATGTCAGTCACACACACAATAAGATTAGACCTTGTGATCCATATGGTTTTCATTGGCTGCTTCTTTAGCCTTTCTTCCTAATTTATCTTCATCTGGAAGCTCTACCTATGAAGGTGGTGTCAATATTATCTCAGTTTTCTTTTTTACAGAGGGAAACTATGAAAATAAATTCGAGGTTATCATCTTTAATGGAGCATGTCAGCAGATCTGTTCTGTCTCCCATAGAGCTACTGACCTTTTGTTTACCAACAGAACACATAATCATTGCACCTCCAGGCCTCCTTGGAGCCAAATGATTACATGCCAAATTAGAAACAAAATATCATTCTAGTCTTGAAAAAACAAAGTAAGACTTATCTCTGAAAACATGAGAAAGCTTTGTGTAAATGCATGTTTTGTACCGATTTCTTTTTGTATTTATTTAAATTCAGTATTCTTTTGAGGCAAGTATTACTTTTCTTCCCTTTTTGTTTTGTATTAACAGTCTTCTTGCTAGGCTAAGAATGAATGCTATAGAGTGAAATAAATCTAGGTTTTAATCCTGGTTTGAACATTCAGTGACACTCAATCTAAAAGAAACAGTGCTAATGCTGTCAGGGAAGCAATGGAGCCGCTAACTTCTAGGTCAACACTCAAACCCATCAGCCTCTCTGTGGGAGAAAGATAGCCCAATAGATGGCTGCTATGCGTTAGAATCGACCGGGTGGCAGTGGGTTTTGGTGGGCATCTGAAAAAGACAGAGCTTTAGAAGCATGTTTAATGCCTCTGCTTAGTCCTGTCCACACAGTGTATATACTATGAAACATGTAAGAGCCAGAACTTTATGGGACTGCCTTGTTTTTCTGAGTCTGACAGCAAGCTTTAGAACACCTTTGACAGGTACAATTTTATTACTTTTATCACTTCTCAATCACTTGTTTTAGTGGAAAATACTTGAGTTTTTTCTCTACACAGGTTCTGACTTTTGAAAATTTTGCTATAATAATCTTTACCATTGACTATCACAGTAGGTATTGATAAAGCTTTGAGTGCAGTGCTAATCAGAGTATGCACACAATACATGATAGCTATTATTTTAGCAGCAATACTATTTTAAGGTGGTTAGGGTGGTACCACTTGACTGCTAAACCCAAAATTTTTGTGGTTCAAGCCTACCCCGTGGACCCACAGAAGAAAGGCTTACTTCTATATAGTCAAGAAAACCTTACAGAACAGTTCTACTTTATAACACATGGTGCTGCCATGTGTTAAGAACCCACTTGATGACAATAGATTTGGCTTACTTTTTGTTGCTATCCATGGAGCCCTGGGTGCTGCACATAGTTAACATGCATGGCTACTAACCAACAGTTTGGTGGTTCAAGTCTGTTCAGAGGTGCCTTGGAAAAAGATCTAGCAGTCTAGACATTGAAATCCTATGGGGCATAGTTTTACTCTGAGATACATAGGGTCACCATGAGCCAAAGTCAACTTGACAGTGACTTGTTTGGTCATAGATGTTTTTTTCTTCCTGGTGTGAATAATATAAATGATAAACTAAGCTGATTATTTTGAAGTTCATATTAGAGAATCTACAGATACTCCTTTTTCTGTGATAGAAGCTGAATTGCAAGAAGGTTAACTAGATTTAACTGATTAATTTAAAGATGCTGAATTTGACTTTACCTTTTCTGAACAGAATGTTCCACCAGATCTTTCCATCTGTACCTTCGTATTGGAGCAGTCGCTGTCTGTCCGGGCCCTACAGGAGATGCTGGCTAACACCATGGAAAAATCAGAAGGGGCAAGTACTTCGTTTATGTGCAGTTGGAGTATTTTAATGACGTCAGCTACTGCATAAATGATTGCTTTCAAACGTATGGAGATTTTCTTTGCTGAATGAAATCAATTCCCTTGGCTTGTGATTTCCTTATGTTTAACTTTTTGGGTTTTTTTTTTTTTTGCAGCAGACCTGTAATGTATAAAAGAACTTAAAAACAAATATCCAACCTTCAGTGACTTATGTCTTTGTCTCAAATAGAACTGTCCTTTGACAATTTGTGTATATCGTTCATTTTTGGAAGTGTATTGACTATATTTACTGCTTTTTACATGGCCATTTGTCATTAAACTTTATTTTATTTTTCAAATACCTCTAACCATATGACTATATGCAAAGCTTCTTTATGGCAAGTGAATTTCATGACACTGTTACATATTTTAAGTAATGGAAATATGGTGTTACTGATTTTTTCAATTGCAGTTTTGCAAAGAGCTGATTATTTTCTTTTTAAAATTAAAGTGATTATTTTGTCTTCCAATGCAAACATCATTTTTTGAATGGTTATTTTGGTTATTTAATCATGTTCCATGAAACTTACTAAGACTAATTTTGGGAATGTTACACATGCTAAACCAATATATGAGACCTTAGAATTAGTCAGGAGAATGAAAGATCAAACTTTGTTTCCTGATGTGCTTTTTGGTGAGTGAGGGTGGGGGAGCAACAACAGTATAATTATTAAGGGTTGGTGTCTGAAAAAGTATTATCAGGAATAAATATAAATTGTATGTCTTGCCCTTATTACTCACATTATAACTTTTATTATTGTTAATTATAGTTCCAATTTGTTTAAATACATAAATTAGAAAGAGGTTGCCCAATCACCAACCCCAATTGTGTAAATGGTGTCCAATCACTTGAGTTTAATCTGTATAAGTCAGTAATTCATATATTGTGGTCTGAAACTGGCTTATAATTGTGTAATTTTCTTCTATGCCACTAGCTCAATTAATGGCACTATCAATAGAATACCTTATGCCCTGGGAGGTGATTGATAATGTTCTCTATCATAAAATGATAATGATGTTTCTAAAGTGAAACACACACACACACACACACACACACACAAACACACACACACCATAGATTATATAAATGGATTTGGGCTTGCACCTAATTGCCCCAATCTAAGAACAATTAGTCCTTATGACATACCCCTACTCCATACTCCATACTCCATGAAGAGATCACTGAGGACATGGGTGCTATAGCAAAGTGTGGTGAAGAAACTAGATGGTGCTGGGCTATCAGAAAGAATAGTGTCTGGGGGCCTTAAAGGCTTGTCTTTAAACAAGGCATCAACTAAATCCACATGGAACAAGCATACCAGCCTGCATGATTCAAGGATTTTAAATAATAAAATCCAAGTCTGATGGAGGAGGAATCGTATCAGAACTTAAATTATAAATACCTGGTTTGCAGAAGGCTGTGGAGAACAGTAGAAGCCCAACATCCATTTGCTGGGTCGCCACATGGATTAAGCTACTGAGTTAATAGCCTCATACAGAATTATGAAAACAGCTCTATTGCAGTATGATATGTTATAGAAGTTTTAATTGGTATTAAGATGAGCAAGTAATAGAGTATGTAGAATATGTGATTTATTTAAATTTTCTTTAGTGTTCATTGGATTATTTATTTCATTCCAGACTCTAAGCATGGGTTTTATTTTTAACTGACATATGGCCTTAACTAAAGGTAAAAATGCTTTGTTATTGCTTGATATCTATATGGAAAAGCACTGGTGGTACAGTGTTTGAACCATAGTGGCTAACTGGTCAACACCTTGAATCCATGAGATGCTCAGTAGGAGAGTGATGAGGCAGTCAGTTTCCATAAAGATTTACAGCTTCAGAATGCCTAGGCAACTCTTCTGCTATGTCCTATTGGGTCCTGTGAATTAGAATTGAATATAAAGCAGTGCAGTGTGTTTTATATATCAGATGCAGAAATGGCCAATTTGTATGAAAGCTAGAATTGGATCATATAAATCCAGATGTGTCATTTTTCATATAAATTCCCTGTCTTTTTAAGCATGCACTCTAAGAACTGTACAAAAGGTGTAGATGATCAGAAGAAACACAAGAAATTTGTAAATGATACACTGCGATCTGAATTTCACAAAAAAGTTCATGGAGAAATATATTAAGTAGTGCAGTTTTATGTGCTCAACAATTAAAAATGTAAACTGAAAAAAAATCCATCAAGAAGCTGCTAGCTAAGAATAATGTTATGTATATTGTTTCATTATTGAAGGATTGATTTCACACAAGTAATTACATGCAAGATCAATTTAGATACATCCAAGAGAAGAAGGTAAAATTTAAGATCTGTGTGTGTTGTGCTGCATAAGGTGTTCAGTGGTTGATTGAAAAGAGAAAACTAATAGAAGTGCACAGCCTATTTCTCCTTCATTGTCTGTTCTTAGCCTAGAAGCTCTACTGACTCTGGATCATTTTAAATGACCCTGATGGTATTTGGAATTCCAGTGACATAGTTTTCAAGAGCATGTGACTAGCAGCAGAATATTGTCAGATACAAAAGATGAGCCCCTCAGGCTGGAAGCATGCAAAATATGACGGGGAAGCGCTGTCTTTGCAAAGGAGAGTCGACCTTAATGATATGGAAGAAGTAAAACATTGGGGACCTTCATTTGCTGATGGAGCATGAATCAAAAAGAGAAGAAAATATCTGTTAATAATGAAAACTTGGAATGTTAAGTATGAAGCAAGGATAATTGAAAGTTGTCAACAATGAAATGAAATGTGCAAAGATCAATATCCTAGCCATTAGTGAGCTGAAATTGGCAGGTATTGGCCATTTTGAATCAGCTAGTCGTGTGGTTGATGATGCTGGGAGTAATAAATTTAAGAGGAATGCCATTGTATTCATCGTCAAATGACACTGCAAGACAAGGTCTGAAGTACAGTGCTGTCTGTGATAGGATTAGAGCTAATCATGCACAAAAATCTAGACAATACAACTATTACTCAAATTTCTGCATCTAAAACTAGTAATACAGACATTGAAGAATTTTACCAACATGTTCAGTCAAAAATTGATCGAACATGCAATCAAGATGCCTTGATAAGTATTGGCAATTGGCATTCAAAAGTTGAAAACAAAGAATAAGGAACAGTAGTTGGAAAACGTGGCCTCAGTGATAAAGAAGATGGTGACTACATGACAGAAGTTTGTAAACTTAACAATTTCTTCATCATAATACCTATTTTCAACAATATAAATGACAATTATTCACATGGACTTCTCCAGATGCAATACACGTAAGTAAAATTGATTTTATCAGTGTAAAGAGATAATGGAGAAGTTCAAATCAATATCAGCAGCCAAAAACACACTAGGGCTGACTCTGGAACAGACCATCCATTGCTCATATGTAAGTTTGGTTTGAAATTGAAGAAACTTAAAGCATATTCATGAGACTGAAAACACAAGCTGGTGTATATCCCACTTGAATTTTGAAAAGCATCTTAAGAACAGAAGATCTGATGAACTGTGAAATGAAACCAAGACTATCATACATGAGGAATGCAAAAAGTCATTAACAATGACAGGAAAGGAAAACAAGATGAAAGTGGATGTTAGTAGAGATGCTGAAACTTGCTTTTAATTGTAGAGTAGTTAAGCCAAATGGATGAAATGATGTAGTAAAAAAGCTGTCCAGAAAATTTCAAAGGACAGCTTAAGAAGACAAAGTATTATAATGTAATGGACAAAGACAGAGTAAGAAAACGAAGAAGAAAGGACACATTTAGCTTTTTGAAAGACCTTAAGAAAAAAAATTCAAGTATGGAGTTGCAATACTGAAAGATTCTATGGGCAAAATATTGAAAAATGTAAGAAGCATCTAAAGAAGAAAAAGGATACACAGAGTCACTGGACTAAAAAGTACAGTCAACATCCAGCCATTTCAAGGTAGTAACATTAAGAACTAATGATACTGAAAGAAGAGGTCCAAGTCCATGGTGCACTGAAGGCATTGGCCTAAACTAGGTTCTAGTAATTGACAAAATACCAATTAACTGTTTTCAAAAAGCTGATGCAACACTGGAAGCACTCACGTATGCCAAGATATTTGGAAGACAGCTACCTGACCAACTGGAAGAGATCAGTATTTATATCCATTCCAAAAAATATGACCCAAGATAATGCACAAATTATAGAAAAATATCATTGATATCACATGCAAGTAAAATTTGGCTGAAGATCATACAACAATTGCAGCAGTACATTAATAGGGAGTTCCCAGAAATTCAGGCGGGGTTCAGAAGACAATGTAGACCATGGAGATCATTGCTGACATCACCTGGATCTTGGCTTAAAGCAGAGAATACCAGAAAGATGTTTACTTGTGGCTTATTGACTATGCTAAACATTTACCTTTTGGATCATAACAAATATGGATATCCTTGAGAAGAATGGGAATTCATTGCACATGAGGAACCTGTACATGGATTCAATGGTGGTTGTGTAAACAGATGAAGAATACTGCGTGGTTTAAAATCAAGAAAAGTGTGCCTAACTATTTTTACTCAATCTGAATAAATCATCAGAGAAGCTGGATTATGTGAAGAAGAATGTGACATCAAGTTAGAACCCAGGATTATTAACAGCCTGTGATATCCAGATGACACAACCTTGCTTGCTGGAAGTGAGGACTTGAAGCACTTGTTGACGAAGATTTTCAGTATGGATTACAACTCAATGTATAGAAAAACCAAATCCTCACACCTGGTCCAATAGGTAACATCTCATAAATGGAGAATTGATTGAAGTCATTAAGAATTTTGTGTTCCTTGAATCCAGAATCAATGCTTATGGAACCAGCTGTCAAGAGATCAAACAACAGATTGCATTGAGGAAATCTGCTGCAGAAGCCTTCTTTAAGGTGTTGAAAATCAAGGATGTTACTTTGAGGACTGCTTTGAATGTGGCCAGCCTGATTCAAGCCACGGCATTTTCACTTGGCTCATATGCATGTAAAAGTTGAACATTGAATAAGGAAGAAGATTGAAAAGGTGTGGCCTTTTTTGTAAGAGAGAAAGGGAGAACTCTTCTCCCCTCTGTCTGCCCCTTCACCTTCCTCACCCCTTGGACTCTGTGTGTGCCCATAGGGGTGGCCCATGGGAGCTGTCACGCTGCTGTCTTCCCACCGACCTTGGTTCCATGGTACTGTGCCCTCACCAGCATATGATCTCCCTGCATCTTACTTCACTGTTCTTTGTCTTCAGCCTGCAACTACACAAGTCGGAAGTGCGCTCCACATTGCAGCAGTCATGGATTTGAGTTGAATTGCGCTGGATGTCCTCTTGATAAAAAGTTCCTTCTCACACACATACAAATGTCATCTGTTTTGTTTCTCTAAACAACCCAGCCTAACACAAGGACCCTTGACAAGATGGATTGATACAGTAGCTGCTACAATGGGCCCCAACATAACAACAATTGTTAGGATGGTGCAGGACTGGGCAGTGTTTCGTTCTGTTGTGCAAAGGATCATTATGTATCAGAACTGCCTTGGCAGCCTCTAACATGCTGTACTGAACAGTGGTTAAGCATGTAGAGCAAATGTTCAAATGCTTTGCATAATATTATTGTGCCTCAGTTTTCTCCTTTGTAGAGATAATAATAGTATTGTTCTCGTGAGAATGTTTTGAGATTTAAACAATTTAATATGAGTGCTTGGAACTGTTACTTGGCTTTTATAAAGCATTGTGTGTATGTTATTATCACAATTATTATCATTTCAGCTTTGAAAATGGATGTCTAAGTGCCAACCACACCTGATCCTTCTGGAAAAAAGAATATGAACAACAGACAGAATATTATTAACATACAAACAATCCAATGACCTTAAGACACTAGAGTATTAACTGAAACAGGTAGATTGTAGAGAGGAATGACATTTGAAAGACTCAGTTTGTATATGGAGAGTTCCATATTTTTAGGACCTTTTAAAAACTAAAGGTAGACTGAAATAAATAACAAGAGGTGACTAAGGTCTTAAGGAAAACACACTGTTTTTCTGAGGGTAGAATTCAAGCCTTCGGGAGTGAGGTAAGCCTGAAAAGAAAAAGAGCCAGAGAGAGGGAGCCCCACGTTTCTGTGTAAAATTATTCTCAAATTACTGGCTGACCCGTGAGCAATATATGTGTAGACCAGGCATCACTTGCCACCAAACCAAAAATAACAGAAAACTCACTTGCCACAGGTAAGGACAAAACTACAGGGAGATTTTTGTTTCTGTGTCTTAGATGCCTAGTACTGTCATAACAGAAATACAGTAAAAGCAGGTGCCTTTACACAACAGCCTTTTATATTCTCACACTCTGGAACAGGTGTCCTCAAACTACAGGCCGCGGGCCACATGCCTAGGACATTTATCCAGCCCGCCAGGTGTTTTTGCCCCATTTGTTTTTTTACTTCAAAATATGATATGTGCAGTGTGCGTAGGAATTTGTTCATAGTTTTTTTTTTTAAACTATAGTCCGGCCCTCCAATGGGTCTGAGGGACAGTGAACTGGCCCCCTGTTTAAAAAGTTTGAGGACCCCTGCTCTGGAGACTTAAAATTAAAATCTGGGTCTCAGCTGTGTTGACTCACTTTGTGACCTCTTCTAGTTTATTAGCAACCTTTCCTTGTAAGATGGTCTTCAGGCTGTATTTGCTTCCCTCTCTGTCTGTGTCTGTTTTTGTCTATTCTATTGTTCTTATAAGAAGCAACTTAGAAGTGATTAGACTTAGGATTCACTCTACTCTGGTATCACTTAATAAAACATAACTATAACAAAATTAAAACCCTTTGTCCAAACACAGCTTAAGACTTCAACTTTATTTTAAGGGGACATAATCAATAATAAAACCTATAATGGGTGAAGTAATGTTTAAAAATTCATGTCCTCCTGGAACTTCAGCATGTGACTTTATTTAGAAATGGGGTCTGTAGAGTCCTATCTAAGAAAAGGGAACAAAATCTATGCTGAGTTATCTCCAACTTGGGACACAGGCCTTTCAGAAAGCCCACACCTCTTCTCACCCAGCTGGTTCACGAAGCACTCAACTCACAACAACATTGAGTAACTATTGTGAGTTCTGAGCTGAGGATACAGAGATAAATAATAATGCATCTTTGCTTTTAAGCAATGTAGCAACCCAATAGTGAAGAGAGAAGATACGTAAATAATGCTAGTGCAGCATGAAGCATGTTTAAGTAGTCAATAGTTCAATGAGAGCACCGAGAAAAGGATCTCTAATCCAATGCTATCCCATGTTCGGATGAGCACCTAACTCAAAACCAAACTCACTGCTGTCGCATTGATTCTGACTCCTAGCACCAGGCAGAGTGGCCCTTGTTGGTTTCTGGAGCAGCTAGTGTTTTCAGACTGTAGACCTTGTTGTCAGCAGCCCAACTCCTTACCCACTATACCACTGGGGTTCCTTCAGATTACACCATGTTCTCAACAGATCAAATGTGAAAAGCCGAACGAATTCTTCTGTTTACACTTTAGATTTTATGGCAGTGGGAGCCATGTATAGCTGAAACAACAGTTCTCAAATTTGCGCTGCTAACTGCACGGTCATCATTTCAAACCCACCAGCTGCTATGTGGAAGAAAGGTGAGAATTTCTGATCTTGTAAAGATTTACAGCCTTGGAAACTCACAGGGGCAGTTCTACTTTGTCCAGTAGAGTCACCATGAGTTGGAATCCACTGAATGGCTGTGAGTTTGAGTATAATTTAGATGTCCCTGGGTGGTACAGACAGTTAATTACACTCAGATGTTAACAAAAAGGTTGACGTTTCAAAGAGGTTCAAATCCACTCAGACACACAAGGGTCAACTAGATGGCAAATAGTGTAAGTTTAATCACTTCACACTGTCTTCCAAGAAGTCTTACATTTGTGTTTAGGGACAATTTTGGGTAAAAACCATACAATCCTGTTCCCACTATTAAATTCTGTTGTAGATGAAACTCAGCTATAGACAACACATAAACTAGTAGGCCTGACTGTGTGCCATTAAAACTATTTATGGATACTGATAACTTAAATTTATGTGAATTTCATATGTCACAAAAGATTCTTCTTTCTATTCTAAATATTTTCAAGTGTAAAAAACAATTTTTCTTGCAACCTTTGGTCCAAGACAGGGGTCAACAAACTGCGACTCTAGAGCCATATGCAGCTCTTTTGGTACTTACATGTGGATTTGAAGTAAAGTTGACAATTTTAAAGGATATTACTCAGGTAATGGTGATGTTGTTTCTTTGTTAAATGTATTTATGGATCTCAAATAATTTTTAAATTCTTGAGAGGGATAGCATTGGTTCTTTTGTCTTAAAAGTTTGTTGACCCATTGTAGGGAAGAACACATTCACTTCTATTTTAAATAAAGGTTTTAAAAAATTAATCTCCAAAACCAAAAATACTACTTCAGAGATAGAGCTATAATGCTAACAGAAGCTTAGCATTTCTTAGCTTACTAACGATCTTACTAACAATATTGCCTTTAATCATCATGTTATCTAAAGTCACAACTACATAAAGAGATGCCTTCCCCCCTTTTTAAAATCATTTTATTGGGAGTGCTCACAGCTCTTATCACAATCTATACATCCATCCATTGTGTCAAGCACATTTGTACATATGTTACCATTATTTTCAAAATAATTTCTTTCTACTTGAGCCCTTGATATCAACTCATTTTCCCCACCCCCCACCCTTCCCCCTTCATGAACCCTTGATAATTTATAAATTATTATTTTTTCATGTTTTACACTGTCCACTGACTCCTTTCACTCACTTTTTTTGTTCATCCCTCTTGGAGGGGGTTGTATGTCAATTATTTGATTGGTTCCCCCTTTCTTCCATCACCTTCCCATTCCCCTCCTGTTATTGCTACGCTCATTATTGGCCCCGAAGGGTTTTTCTGTCCTATATTACCTGTGTTCGAAGCTCTTATCAATACCAGTGTACTTGCTCTGGTCTAGCCTGATTTGTAAGCTAGAATGGGGGATGATTTAGTACTTTACAAGTAAAACCTTCTTTCTGTCTTTTTGACCTTCTGTCTGAAGAAATTCTATTTCTACTCAAGCAACGAGTGCTCCATATTGATAAATATTTGAGGGTTGTAGTTTCCATGAACTCCAGAGATCCTAGCATCAAACTCAATTAGGCGTTCAATTTAATCAGCATGCAATTTAATCACAGTGGCAGAGCTATGCCCTGTTTTAGATTATGAATCTTGACGTAGAATTTCTTTTGATTACTGTCATTCAATTTGGATATCCTCAGATTTCTTTTGAATTTATGCTACAAGAATATTTTTCATGTGTGAATATTTGATAGCAAATGAATCAAATGGTAAATTTTTGTGATAAACTATTCACAGGTATACAAGGGATATAAAGATATTCATAACTGCTAAGGAGCAGAGCTAGTTCAGTGATAGAATTCTTGTCTTCTGTGTGGGAGTCCAGGCTTGAATGCCATCCAGTACATCCCATGAACTCTGCTGAAGAAGTGTCAGTGGTGGTCCACACTGAGGCAACCTTAGAAGAAAGGACAGGAAAACTACTTGCAAAATCCAAATAAACAACCCCATAGTTCACATCCGTTTGATCCACAATCACTCATGGGAATGGCAGAACTGGGCATTTTTCTGTTCTTTTGTGTATAGGATTACCATGAGTTGAGAGCTGACTCATGGATGGCTAACAACAATAACAACAGCCAATTGCTCTGAACTTTTATTCTCGTAAAGTTCTAAATTTATTGGCTCTAATGCTTCTACTCTTTACTCCCCTTTATCAAATGATATCCCTCCTATTATTCCACCTAGCTCAACCCATACACTTTCTTGTTTGTTTGTTTTTCTTTCTCCCAAGCACTTGTTGCCTGCTGACATACTAAGTATTCTTTGTTTGTCTACTGGGTGCAGCTTCCACTAGAATGTGAACTCCCATGAGGGCAGGACTCTGGTCTCCTGTCATCACATTTATTCCACTCAGGTTGCAATGATGTTCTTTGTTTGCTAGATGTTTAGCATTCACTGTTGGAAGGGATTGTACGAGAGTGTTTCTGCACTGCGGACCAGGAAAATGTAACAATTGTGTTTCTGCTATTGCAATAGCAGTTTTAATGCAAGATTCTGCGCCCCTCCCCCTACTACTTTGTCATGCTATTGAGTGAGAGAAGGAATATTTTTGAAAGTAAATATAAGAAAATAGCATGTTGAGATTACTTAACAGTATCAGTTGTAATAAAGTTAATTATGGCTCATAGTGACCCTATGTCTATCAGAGTAGAATTGAGCACCAGAAAGCTTTTGGAAGGAGATTGTCAGACCTTTCTTCTTTTTTTTTTTCTGTCCATTTTATTGGGGGCTCTTACAACTCGTATCCGACATATTTGTACTTATATGCCATCATTCTTTTCTAGACATTTACTTTCCGTTGAGCCCTTGGGATCAGCTCCTCCTTTTTTCCCTCCCTCCTCCCCTCCCCAAACCCTCTTGGCCCCCTGATAGATTGTAGATTTGTTAATTATTTTCAAATCTCACTCTTACCGCCTTCTCCTTTCCCCTCTGGTTTCTGTTGTTCTTCCTCTAACTGGGGTTGTGTGGTTATGTGCTATTCATTGCCATCGGTACCCCCCACCCTCCCCATTTCCCCCCCTTCCCCCTACCCTTTTCGTATCTCTATTCCCATTCCTGTTCCTGTGTTCCATGTGTTGTGAGTTTCATCTCTTGCCTGTACCTACATACATGTTCCGGTCTAGTCTAGATTAGGAGGCAGCATTGGAGTCATGATAGCGTGGGTGGGGGTGGGGGGTGAGGAGGCCTCTAGGGACCAGAGGTATATTGCGTGACCCATTAGTGCTCTACTGCACCCTGATTGACTTACCCTCTCCCTGCTACCCCTCTGTGGGGGGAGGTTCCATTGTCCCAAGATGGATTTTGGGTCTCTGCTCCAACCCCCCTCCACTCTCACCAATGCATTTTTGTTTGTTTGTTTACTGTTTGTTGTGAATCTTCTGATGCCTGTTGCCTAGTCTCAACACCAACAGTCACTTTAATCTGTACAAATGTTTAATCTGAATAAATCAATAATTCATGTATTGCAAGCTGTTTATACATGTATAATTTCCTTATATCAACAATGTTTTAGATTCTGTACACTTGGCTAAATTAATACCACCATCAATAGATTTACCTTTTGCCTCAGGGGGATGATTGATAATGTTCTCTATCATAAAATGATAATAATGTCTCTCAAGTGAACCATAGACTTATATAAACCATAGACACACGAATAGACTTTGTGCTCACACTTAATTCTAGCCCCAATCTAAGAAAAATTAGGTCTTATAGCGTGGCCCTGCTTGAAGATCACCCTCATGAAGAGATCACTGAAGTTATGGGTGCTATAGCAAAGTGTGATCAAGAAAACAGATGGTGCCCGGCTAGCAGAAGAATGACATTAGGGATCTTAAAGGCTTGTCTTAAAAAAAGCTGCCTTAAAGTGAGACATCAACTGAGTCCACTTAAAAGAAGCACACTAGCCTGTGTGATCTAAGATTGCAAATAATAAGACACAAATCCAAAGAAGGGAATCATATCAGAGCTTAAGTTGTTAACACATGGTTTGCAGTAGCCTACAGATGATAATGGAAGCAACGCATCCATTTGTAGTGTCCCTGCAAAAAGTGAGCCTGTGGTAAATCCTCTCTGACTCTAGTCAAGTAATATGAATAGCCTTCCTATGAGACAGAGAGTTTTGTGAAGTTAATTATGGCAGATGTAGTTGGGTTAAAATGTAATACCTTATCATTTGATCTAACCTTTAGACTCATTTTACAGTTATTTCAGTTTTTAATATTTTCTGCTTTTTTGCCCCTGCTTTCTTTTTTATTGAAGGTTTTCTATATATAATTGAATCATTTTTGCTTGTTTGCTTCCTGTTTGTGTTTTGTACAATTTTATGTATATGAAATCCAGGATAGGCAGATCTACAGACATAGTAACTGGATTGATAATTGCCTGGGAGAACAGCAGAGATGGATGGGGGGAAATGGGGAGCTCACAACGAGTTTGATAAGAGTATGTCCTGAATTTGAATGTAATGATTGCAGAAATCTTAATATGATTGAGTAATTGAATTGTCTGATATATGAGGTATATTTCAATAAAATCATTAAAAATATATTTATTTGCTTTTTTAAAAGTCACACAGTGATTGTGAAATCAATATACTTGTATTAAGAAAGGGAGTTTTAAAATTTATTTGATTGTGACATATTTTCAAAATTATTTGTTAAGGCCTGCCTTATTTCATATTGTAAAATTTTATAAAAGCAGAAAGATTTATATAAATGTTTTTGCTTTCCGTAAATTTCAGTAAATACGCATTATAGTTAGGTGCCATATGTCTGAATTGAACTGTGGATTTGATATGGACTCACAGAGACTGGATAGGGCAGAGAAGAATTGGCCTGTAGGTTTTTGAGGCTTAGATCTTTTTAGGATATTTTAAGGCTTAACTCCTTCTGTGAAGAGGCTAATAATAACTAGTAGTTCCCAAATTAAAAGACTTCAAGGTTTAAGAGCTAGGCAAATATTCACTGTTTGTTTTTGAATGCATTGCATTATTGTTATTTTGTATACCTCATGGATTTCTAGCTTATTTTTCAAATTTTAATTACTAGATCAATGAATATTTTTGTTTCAGGAGATTAAATGTTAGTAATTAAGAGTTTTGGAATAGTGTTCTCTACCATGTAGATTTGGGTGCAAGGATAGCATTTTAATTCCTTTAAATGATACTGATTTATACATTGGTAGCTATTTGATTATTTGTTTATTGTTTTCTTTCCACAGCAAGTTGATGTGGATAAATGGGTATGTGTTTATATGTATTTATATACAAATTGTGGTTTAATTAAGTGCATGTTTGCTGTTGCCTCTCATCTTTTCATTTTGCTTTCTAATGTAGCTTGTAGTATTCGTGTTCAAAATAACTTCTATGTGTAATGAACATATCTTTTATAGGCCTTTTTATATCATTTGCTCCTTATACATTTTTAGTTTTGGTTCTACTTAAATGGTATATACTAAGATAAACTGCAGTCCTAGAATCATGTAGTTTCTATATAATTGCCTTTATAATTATAATATGCTTTAGGCCAACAGAAAGGAATTGATTATTAATACAGTATATCTTTGCCAATAAACCTTGCCTGTTTAATTTAACAATTTCCTATTTAATCCTAAAGTTTTTCCCTGTGCAATAAGAAAGAAAGTAGATATGTATTCATGTGGTCTTATAAAGGTGAGGTGAATGATAGTGTCATGCGGAAAGAATGCAGGATTCTGGAGACTGGGTTTAGGATTAACCTTGCCAACCCTGGTTTTCTTCTTTTCTTATCCCACAAAATAAATAAATGAATGGTGGAGGGAAGGAGCAAAAGGAAGGGAGGAGGTCAAGAAAGGAGAACTCCATTATTATGAGTAGTAATCAGAGCAACACAGATCATTCCACTTATTTTTTTCAAGAGCACATGAACAGTGATGGTTTTCATTGTTCTATTTGCCCCTGTGACTTATCAAATGAATCACTTAAGATCCACTTAGCCGATCGCTTCATTAATAGGTTCACCACCTTTCTTAGTTCTGGAATCCAGTTTTCCTGAAGCAATACTTTGAGAATATCGCGCCTTTTCAATAACTTTGTAGTGTCCATACATTAGAATTTTTTGAACAGCAGTGTGCTTGCCTGGCGAATTACAGATTTTTTTTTCATTTTTTTCCTGCTTCTTTTAGCCTCATATATTGTAAAGATTCTTTTCAGATCTCCCATAATGGTGATATCATGTGGAAATTTGAGTACTGCCACTTCTATATTCCTGTGTGCAAATTGAATTCATCATCCTTCCCTTCACAACTAAGTTATTATTAATTTTATTCAAATGTTTGTTTCTTTCACAAGTTCCTAACTTTAATTTATTCTTATAGTTATAGTTCTAATCCATGCCTTATTAGTTTTCTTACCTTGGAAATAGAAGCCTGTTTCTAAGAACAGATATTCCACCTCTATGTTTCTATGTCCACCCACGCACACACACTCAATTTATCATTCTGAGATTAGTTATCTGCCTTTTCTTCATCTTTGCATTTTCATTCTTTCTTTGCATCATTTCTATGCCATATCCAGACTGATATTTCTTGAACCAACCACTAGTTTCTTTCAGTTGTTTGGACATAGGATATAGAAACACACGCATGAATAGTACTGTTTTCCCAGTTCTTCCGTTTACATTTTGTTTGATTTTTATCTGCCTCACTATGCAGTTTTTTCTTTTCTTTTTTATGTAACAACTCTCAACTTAAAATATATTTCACTTCATTTATTTGTAAATCCTCAGAGTAAAGAATACTTTCTAGTTTTGTGATATGTAAATCCTCTTTATTGAAAATCATGAAGCTTAGATTTACCGGTAACTATTGCTGTAGTCTGATGTAAGCTATTTATGGGTCATAGTATTCTTGTCTATAGGATTAGAATCTGAACTAGCTCTTTCTAGCCCTATAATATTTACTATTATATCAATGAGAAAGCACATATATATTAAAACATGTTCATTTAGGCATGAAAAGATTCCACTGGATTTATTTTAGAGCACTGATAATCATTATTATATTTATGTGTCTTAGTACATTTTAGACATAAAACTATTTCTTACCAAGGAAACATACAACTTTCCTCTAGTTCCTTAATGCTTCCTTCCCCCAACTAACATGATCCCAATTCTACCTTACAAATTTGGCTAGACCAGAGGATGTGCACTGGTACAGATAGGGGCTGGAAACACAGGGAATCCAGGACAGATGATCCCTTCAGGACCAGTGGCGAGAGTGGCAGTACCGGGAGGGTAAGGGAAAGGTGGGGAGAGAAAGGGGGAACCGATCACAGTACCCTACATATAAATCCCTCCCTGGTGGACAGACAACAGAAAAGTGAGTAAAGGGAGGCATCGGTCTGTGTAAAACATGAAAAAAAAAATTATAAATTATCAAGGGTTTGTGAGGAAGGGAGGGTGAGTGAGGGAGGGGAAAATGAGGAGCTGATACCAAGGTCTCCAGTAGAAAGAAAATGTTTGGAGAATGATGATAGCAACAAATGTATAAATATGCTTGACACAATGGCTGTATGTATGGATTGTGATGAGTTGTATGAGCCCCCAATAACATGATTAAAAAAATAAGAAAGTTCAAATTTCATATGTTTGCCAGTGTTCTAAGCAGCCATTGAGTTGGTCCTCAACTTACATTGATACCATACATAGTAAAATAAAAAAATTATCTGTTCCTGTACCATCCCCACGAGCAGTTGCAGATTAATTGTTATTTATAGTGTTTTCTTGGACTGCTTTTTGGAAGTTATCTCACCAGACCTTTCTTCATAGTCTGGATTTCTGGAAGATCTACTGAAACCTCTTAGGAAGATTGAACTTCTGTCATGGGTACATGGAGGGCCCCAGAAATCAATTTTTACTGTTGCCTACCTGCTTAAAACTACTGCTCCCTGGGGCCATTCTCCTCCGTCATTGGGGTTATTTCTAGGAAGGTGTCATGAGGTACCATGGGAAGGAGGGAGAAGAGGATGCTGGCAGGTAATGTCTCCTTTGATGATAATCATCAGACATGCCAAATATTTAAGGCTGACTCTTTCTTGTGGGTGCTTGAGAGGTTTTTGCAGGAATTTCCTATTACCAGAATTTGCTGGCCTGAAGTTTTCTTTCTGTAGCCATACAAATCTTTTCTATGGTCATTAATGATTATGTATTTGGTCCCTGAATGTTTTTGTGCTCAGATTTCTTGGACCTTCCAATTAGCATCTGAGATGGATCTTTCCACGTTGGCATTACCTAGGGTAGCCTCCATTTGTTTGGGGATAGTGCAATCACTTCCCAGTTCTCCTTTGTCACAGGCCACTTCAATAAGCTTCTTGCTAGTCAATCTCTAGGCATCATGGATACTTTTATACTGAGTTTCAGCCCCTGGAAGCACAAGTCTTGCTGAAGCTATCCCCACTAGGCTTGAAGTGAAGGCAACCTTAGAAGTTAGTGGGCTTAGAGCTTCTCTTTAAGAAACCCACCCCCTCTTTTGATGAAACTATCCTCTCCACATCTGAGCTTTTCTAACAGATTTGGTGTGGTTGCCAGCTATGGGAACAAGCTGATAATCAGTGATTTACTGTAGCTACTTGAGCCATTATTGTGTGGCTTACAGTACATAGGACTGACCACTATTTTGTTCTGGCACTGACTTCCCCTTTTAACATCTTTTATTCTTGTTTCCCTATAGCAGTGGTTCTCAACCTTCCTAATGCCATGACCCTTTAATACAGTTCCTCATGTTGTGGAGACCCCCAACCATAAAATTATTTTCGTTGCTACTTCACAACTATAATTTTGCTACTGTTATGAATCAGGCGACCCCTGTGAAAGGGACATTTGACCACCAAAGCAGTCATGACCTACAGGTTGAGAACCTATGCCCTATAGGGTGTGTTTAACTGCCTCAGGTTTTAAGATATTTACAAGCCCTAAAATTATATGTGGAAGTTATACAATGCCCTTTAACGTAAGTGTTCTGTTAATACTCTGGTTGATTTTACAAAGGGCAAATCAGTTGGCAATTTTACAAAGGGCAATCCATAAAATTATATGTGGAAGTTACAATGGCCTTTAACGTAAGTGTTCTGTTAATACTCTGGTTGATTTTACAAAGGGCAAATCAGTTGGTTTCTCTCTTTCTCTCCTTTCGTTTATCTCTCTCTCCTCCAATATTCTGTGCACATTTGTGCACTTTCTTAAACATAAGCCCACGGAGTGATCTAAAGCTGCTCTTCATGCACAGAGAGAATGAACTTTCTGAGTTCTAGGTTAAAGAGTGATTGTTACTCCCATCTACCCTGCCTTACCTTTACCCTCTTGACCATTAAGGAGGCCTACGATGCAGGTTGTGAGTGGGGATAGGAGCAAAGGGTTTGTTTTCTATGAAGCATTGCCCATAGGCAGAATAAGTTGTATGCATATACTTTTTACATATACACATGCTATGGTAATTGTTAAAATACAAAATAATTTAAAATATCTTAAAATCATGTTATGAGGAGCCATTGAGCTGGTTCCAGCACATAGAGACTGTGCACAGTGGAAGAAAATACTGCCAGCCTGTGCCATCCTCACAAGAGTCGTGTCGGCCCATCTCGTTGAGGGTCTCCCTTTTTGTCACTGCTCCTTACCAAGCGTGATGTGCTTTTCCAGGGACTGGTCTTTCTAGATAACATGTACAAAGGTTAAAAAATGCATTGTATATTTATTTCTGTCATGTGATGGTTTGTGAAATGTTTTTTATCAAGGTTCATTCGTATTTGAACTAACTGGAAAAATGTGTTGAATCTTCCATTTCATTGTAGAGACTACATTTTATATGTAATTAATGATCTGAGTATAGAAGATACTGTATATCATCAGATTGTTGTTTTGCAAGTATCCTGTAATGATTAATTTATTATTTCTGATTTAGGGAAATTCTCTCTTGAGATAAACTGTGGAGACACAAATCCCTCCATACTACTTCTACTTCATAATTTAGGCAGCCACACACCTCAGTGATTTATGCACATGTTTCAGCGATATTGGTGTTAGGGCTTATAGTAGCTTATTAGAATCACTTATTTTCTTTTTCCATTTTAGAGAGAAATTAGATTATTTAAAAAGAAAATACAATCAATTTAAGCACAGTCTGTGCAACGCTTTCTGTAATTAGGCTTTTAAGCAGCAGCATGTACTTATTAGTTGTTACCAGTGACAGACAGGACCATAAATGGAGAACAGTGCTATGGGCTATCTCGATATATGATCATTGTTCTGTTCTCTACTGTAAGCGGTTTCCTTTCATTGTTTCCTGAGCCTGCAGTCAACATGTTTGTCTATTAGTGCATTCTTGGATATTTTCAGCTATGGGGGCCCTAGAGAGTTAAGCATTTATGCAGGATATTTGCATTATGAAATATATTGCCAATGTTATTCACAAATATACATATCTATGGGTGCTATTATGATACAGGCTTTGGATTTAGAATTTTTTATTTCATCTTAATTTTATTTTGCCTCTTAAAATTTGTTGGGACATTAGTAATTTTAAACAGGCATCACTAAACCAGTCTTAGATGGTGAAAACTTTTTTTTTAATATCATAAAGTTTAATAGACAGTTCCTCTTTCAAAAAAAAAAAAGGCGAGATTACCCATTGAAACATTCTGGAGAGTGCATTTTAATCCAAAGAGAGAAATAGTAACAAAAGAAATTTAAATTATATGCTTATTTTATGTGCAACACAGCACATTTTTACTACTTTAATAAAAATCTATTGCTAAGAAGACTTGTAAGCCTAACTTTGGCCTTAATATCAGGCTGTTGCATTTGTAATTCTTTTATGACAGCACTCCTCCTCTCACCAACTGTTCATTTTGTTGACTTGCTGCAAATTCTTTACATAGTTTTTGAGGAGAAATTTCAATAAAACTTCTCTGAAAAGTTCAAAGACCTATTCAAATTCAGGATATTAATTTTTAAAATAATATTTTATTTCCGTAAGTTGGAATCAAACTTAAAAGAATTCAAGATTGAATCAAAAGGCATTACATTGTCCGGATTGCTTTTTCTTGCTTTGCATCAATAATACGATGATACAATTTTACATTCTCCTGATGGCCAACCCTGGATTGTAATTTCCATATAAAATATTGCTATTTAATATGTTTTACGTTTCTCAAAACATTTTCTCTCCATTTAAACCCCCGAAATTCTGCTTTTTTTGCCAACTATTTGATACCTAGGGTCAGTAAAGTTTATGTTAAACCATAGCAATTCCTCTTCCTGTTTTTCATATGAAGGCAGCATTATGGATAACAGGAGGCTTTTATGCCCCCAACTCTTGCTCACAGTTGCACCTTCCTCTGATTTGTCTATTTTGAAGTCATTAATCTAATTCTGGCACACTAAGTTACTGCTACTTGCATTTTGACTCTAAAGAAATAAAACCTTCCCCTTTGTGTTTGAGAATTGATCATCATCCCCCAAATATGCTAACTAGATAGAAAGTAATACCTGAATTCATGCTATCGACCCCAATTGTTGTTGGTGGTTGCCATTAAATTGATTCTGACTGCTCATAGCCCCGTGTTACTTGGAGAACTGCTCCGTAGAGTTTTCTTTATCAAAGCAGATCCCCAAGACTTTTCTTCTAAATGGGTTAAGTCATCATCCTTTAGGTTGGCAGTCAAGTACAAACCGTATGTATTGTCTAAGGACCTCCATGCTGCTTTATCAAAATGAAACAAAAAATAGATCCACTGCTGTGAAGTCTATTAAGACTCATAGCTACAATACATAGGGTTATGGGCACATGCAGCCTCCTCTTTCTCTTGCAGAGGAGCTGGTATGTTAGAACTATTGACCCTGTTTGTAGCAGTCCTAGGTTTTGTAGTCATCCCTTATATATCTTAGAGTTCTAATGTAAGTAATTTTTCTGTATATCTTTTATATTTATTGTAAAAGCAAAACGAATGTTCTTCAAATTTAAAAGCTGGTGGGTTTCGTTAGTATTTATCTTTAGGTATGATTTTCTTTTTCTTCCTTTTATCATGTCATTAACATTGAGAGGTTTTTGTGTTATGATTCCTGTTCTGCTGAACACTTTTCATCTTATCTAGACAATGTTTAAATAAAGTTCAAGATATCCTATTCATTATTTTTATTTTAGTGTATTATGTTTTCTACTTTGTCCTTGGATGATTATCCTTTTCAAGTATCACATAATGTTATACATTTTGAATACCCGGTGTTTAAAGCAAATTGACCACAAAATTATTATTTTTAAGTTAATATCAACAAAGTTAGAAGTAAATTTTTATGTTCTTGGTTTTCATTTTAAAATAGTGTGAGTTGGCATGAACTTGATGGTGACAGGTTTAATTTTTAAATATATTATTTGTCCTCTGGCCTCAACTAGCTTGCAGATTTTTACCATACGGACAGCTGTCTCTCCTCTGGTCTTTGTTTCTTCTCCAGTCTTAAACAATTGAGAAATTCTGAGTCGAGCACTTCAGTAACTTCATTAGTTTTTAAAAGTAGTACAGTGCAGAGAGAATCAGTACTTTAATCTTGACAAAATCAGATAAGAACATTGGCAAAGAAAACTGACAAAAACAGATGAATTCTGAGGAGAACATTTGAAAGAAATTCCCATAAACAGAAGAAAAAATATTTTATGAATAAACTATGTATTAGAAATGGTGTTCTGTAGCAAATTGTTTTAAAAAATCCAATTAGGTTTAAAAATGATTTTTACTATAACACTTAACCATTGCTGTTTTCTTTAAAAATTAAGGTGGATATGCTTACATTAACATTTTCCCTTAGGATTTATCCACTTTCCTTACATGTAGCCCTAGTTTTGGATATATATCATTTTTCTCTTTTTAAACAGTGAAATAAGAACTTAGAGAAATTTAATGGACCTAGCAAAAGTGAAGGAACACACACACACACACACACACACACAGTGAAGGAACACACACACACACACACACACAGAGTAAAAAAAGTATTACTGCCTGGTTTCTAGATCATAAATGCACAGGTTTAGTCCAAACAAAACATATTTAACTATGCCTGTGCAATCAGCAGCGATTATAGACAAGTTCACCGAATAAAGATATACTTGTTTTATTCTCATTAGGGTTCTTAAAATAAACAAATAAACAAATGTCCAATTGAGACAGTAGCTTTGAAGGGGATCTGCTGGGCCAGTATAATTCAAAGTAGTGAGAACAAATTTAAAGGTTAAGGTGACAATTTTGGGGGGATTGCAAAGGAGTAATTTTAATAGAATTTTAACCAAGAACATAGGATGATTAGGGGAGCTATTATGAAGAGAAGCTATGAAAACTGAAAATTGGGTTGGTGAGTAAAAGGGTGGACAAACTGTACCAAAGATTTTGTTTCCCCTCCCAGCTTTCCACACACTCCTTTGTCGGGAACAAGGTCTCTTCCAGGAGAATTTCAGTGGAAACCTTTCCAATTCACCCTATAGCCCCAATCCTGTCCCTTAAGATTTCTTTTTGTTCCTTCAACTCAAAGTCCATTTGAATGAAGCATGATCTGAGTCTCTCCAAGAGAGGGGATCTGTGGTTTGGATGTGGTGTAAATCAAAGAGCACACAACTCTTTGGGGGAAGCTTAGAGAGGTGGAAACACTGCTTTTAGAAGTGTGTAGATCTGGGTGGAGGCTATTCCTAGAAATAATAGTTTCATATATTGGAATTTTCATTAATAAAGGTTCCAATTGTTTTGTAGCACTTCCTTTTTACTTACTTTCATGTGTGTATGTGTGTGTGATTATGATGCTTTGTAGACAGAATAAGTGCTAATATAATATAAATCGCAAGGCTGTGCTTTTAAAATCACTTTATTGGGGTTCGTACAATTCTTATCACAATTCATATATCCATCCATTGTGTCAAGCACGTTTGTACATTCGTTGCTATTGTCATTCTCAAAATATTTGCTTTCTATTTGTGCCCTTGATATCAGCTCCTCATTTTCCCCCTCCCTCCCCACTCTCTCCTTCATCATGAATCCTTGAAAATTTATAAATCATTATTATTTTGTCATATCTTATACTGTCTGACATCTCGCTTCACCCACTTTTCTTTTGTCCATCCCCCAGGGAGGAGGTTATACGTAGATCCTTGTAATTGGTTCCCCTCTTCTACCCCCCCTTCCCTCCACCCTCTCGGTATCGCCACTCTCACCAGTGTTCCTGAAGGGATCATCCGTTCTGAATTCCCTGTTTTTCTGGTTCCTATCTGTCCCAGTGTACATCCTCTGGTCTAGCCACATTTTTAAAGTAGAATTGGGAGTGGGTGGGCTGTTTTTAAAAAGAGAAAAAGGTTTTTGTGATGTTTTTGAAAGATACATCTCAGTATTTTTTTTTGTATCTAAGGATATTCTTATTATGTTGCATATAATATGAACAGCTAAATACAGCATACTTGCCTATAATCACATACTTCTAATCCATTGATTTTATTAATACTATTGAATTTCTTACACAAAAGATGAAATGAAGAATTTTTAGGGCATATTTTAAAGAATGTGCATATATATATATATATACAGATATATATATATATATTTTAATTTCCTACAAAAACTCTTGGTTCACTTGCGGGCCTGTACCTTTAATTTTTACAGTGCTTAATATGAAGCACACATTGCAGTGGCATGTTTCATAGAAAAAGTAATACAAAACAAAACATTTTAAAAAGTTGTTGCAGCTCTTTTCTAACATGCAGTTGATATTATGCTTTATTGTAAAACACTGAATGTGTGTGGCTGTATATGTTTTATTGTTTATTGTTCAGGAGGAATTTATAAGTAAGATATTTTAAAATAAGTGTTTGAAATTATGGATATTTAACACGGTCTCTCTTTTCCTTATGTCCTTACAGAAATTCATGATGAAGGTAAGACATTGGACTATCTCCAATTTAAGTGATGTGTGCATGCTTTCAGTTTGGTTATAATTGTTTTATTTTTGAGATCAGAGGTGTTATTTTTAAGTTGAAATATGAAATGAGGCTTTGGCAATTTTAACTTCTAATAAATAAATCACATTTTGATTTAACAGGTTAACAAACATTTGTTGTCTTTGGGTTATATTTTAAAATACTAACTTTTATTTAATCAACATTATGAATTTATCCCATACATAATTGGCATTTTATAGCTTTCCATTTAGAAGTTTAACTCTGTGGTTTATATTGACGATTTTGTCTGTAAGCCCTCTTCTGTGAATGAATAAATTAGGAAATGAATACACTGGGGAATTAGAAGAGGTACCAAGAAATTACAGTCTTATTACTTACTTCAGATTAGATAAACTTTCAACCCCTTTTATATTTCAATGGAAGAGCTTTTAAAGGATACTCCCCCCAAAAATAAAAGGGCAAGATTATGTAATGAAAAAATATGTAGGGAAGAGAGGAAGAGCAGAGAGTGGTTACTTTAGGTCACACAGCAGAACTGTGTGTGTGTGTGTGTGCGCGCGCGCCTGCCTACCACCCTTTTCAGAAACCCTGATAGCATCAAGGGTAAAACATTGGACTACTAATCATAAGGTCAGCAGTTCAAAACCACCAACTGCTCCAAGGGAGAAAGATGAGTCTTTCTATTTCTGTAAAAATTTATGGATTCGGAAACCCACAAAGAAAGTTCTACACTGTACTATAGGATCATGAGTTATAATCTACTAGAAGACAGTGAGTTTGTTGAGTTTGACTACCCGTATCATATAATACTTATGAGATTTAATTTTTATTATAAAAGATGAGAACCACCATTTAGAGATAATTGTTTTCTTTTCATAAAGGCTTAGTATAATTTAGAATTTTTAAAGTGTTGCTTCAAAAGATCCCGCTTCTGAAAGTTTCAGATTGAGATTTAAAAACATAACATTGAAGGAAGTAGAGTGCTCAGATATATCTATGTGATTAATGTAGCAAAGTCTATTGTTCATATTTTATAAAACTAAGCCAGGTGCATGTGTAATACCAGAAACTACAGTTAGTTACAAACCATAAGAAGTTGATAGTTTGAGTGGGATGACAGAGAAGAACACTTTATTGATGCTATCTGTCAACAGGGGACAGAAAATATCTTCCAAAATGGAAAATAATTGCATTTAACCTTTTCAGTAGAAAATAATATAATTACATTGAGAAGATAGGACATTACTGACTACTAAATTAGATAAATTAGATATATACTGAAATGATGGCTCTGGTTGATAAAACAATATTAGTTCCAGCAAGATACAAAATGTTTTTCTTTGCTAATATTTATAGCTAACGAAACTAGACGGAACTATATTAGAAAAATAGGTTTTGTTACCAAATCTACATTATTTTATGAATTTAATTACCCCAGTAAATAAATAAATAAATAAATGGCTTATTTCATAAATTTGAATAGTCTGAAAATGTTAAAATTTTTTAAAGGGAGGTTATGATGATGCTGAATTTGATTCAACTTTCACTTTTCTATCATTATTTGCTTTGAATTTTCTGTTTGGACATACATTGTATAACATCTCAGAACTAGACAGATGTTTTCTTATTGAGATACCCACTTCTGTTTGTTGAATTAAACAGTGATTAAACCAACTAACCTTGAGTCACTTCCATGTGGTGGGGATCCCAAGTGTATCAGATTAAAGTCCTCTGAAGGGTTTTTAGTGGATAGTTTATTGGATGTTTTTTCAGAAGTAGATCACCAGTACTTTCTTCCATGGTGCTTCCAGGTAGGTTGGAAAATCCAACCTTTCAGTTAGTAGCAGGGTGTATTGCCCACTCAGAGACTTCATACAGTGATTATTACTGTCATAGGCCTGATCTCACAAGAGACTTTTGGTCAAGATACTATCATAAGCTTTGGGGGAAGTAGGCCTTTCTTCCTAGCTGCCTCTGGGTAGACTCAACCGTCCAACCTTTCAATTAGCAGTCAAGCTCATAAACCTTTATGCAACATTGGGGAGAGTCATAACAAAAACCTGGGAATGGAAAAACCCCTTGAAGCGATGGCCTAGAGCTCTCATTTTGAAACTCTATATAGAAACTTGGCCATGGGCTATCTCAGTGGTAGCCTACACAAATATGCATAAGCTCTCTCTCTCTACAAGGCTTTCCAGCCTAGTTAGCCTTTGGCACTAGAATTCTGCAACCGACCCAAAGGAAACATAGGGAATGGAGAATAGTCAGAGTAATGACCCCTGCTCTCTGCTTTGGAACTAAACGGGTCCCATGTTGGAGGTCCTTGACTAAGCTGTCCTATATCTTTGTGAACTATATTTTAAATATATATTTTTACAATAAAGGAATTCTAACATTAAAAACAGATACCATCATAAGCAAATCATGTGATGCTAATGAGCATCTTGATAAGCAACTAGTTTTCCATAAAGCCAAATTTGTTATTGTTTTAGTTATGTTCTCTGTGTGACTCAGATCTCCGAGACGACAGGTCCACTCTAGTGTCTCCTGCTGCCACAGACCCAAAGGAAGAATGTGTCCTGCTCATATGTGTTAAGTTCGTCTCAGGACAGGAGACTGATTTATTTCTCCTTTTCTTCTCTAAGCAACTAATTTTTCTGATTTTCCATATATTACTATTAGTTTCTAAAAGTAAACTTAAAAGCGTCTCTATTTAAATACCTGAAAACCATAAAAGCTCTCCAATACAAATTATTCTGTAGTTCACTATTGCCTTTAACAATAAGACACTTATAATAATCTGTTGTTTTATTTCTAAAAGTTATGCTATATAATAGTACTCAAAGGATATAGAAAAAGGTTTTTCACTGAGTCTGATTTATTCTAAAAAAGTAATCCTTTTCATAATAAATTATGTTTCTCCTTCTTTTCCCTGCACATTCAGACATTTTTGTTCTTCTATTTCTCCTCTCTTTCTTTTTTCTTTACTATTCTGTCTCTTCACTCTTTTCGGCTTTATTTACACACATACACACAAATACATATATATTAATCCTCTTCTTTTGCTCTAATTATTTGTTTACATTTTCTCCGGCCCTTCCCACTATCTCTTTCTATTTACTTTCCTTGTGAAATGTTTTCATTGTATGATACCTACTAATTTTTATTACCCTTACCTATTAATTTTTATTATACTTCTTAAAATATATTTCTTATTATTTTTTCAAATCTTTTTTGCATAATCATATGATCCCTTAAAATTATTTTAACTTCTATTTTATTCTCTCATCTGCCCCACCCCATTTTGCATACTTACTCAGTGTTTCATTTGTTTCTTCAATTCCCAAGGAATAATGTACACTATATGAGTAGGGAATAATATAAAAAAATATATTATCATAATGTACATATATACCCCCCAATGAAAGACCTTCAAAATACATCAGTCAAATGCTCACAGAGTTGAATAGAGAAATAGACAGTTGAACAATAATAGTAGGAGGAGTCAACATGCTACTCAGAACAATCATCAGGAAAGAAACTCAATTAAGACAAAGAGTTAAAATAATCAGCTATCTTGGTGTGGAAGTTACACAATTTCATGTCAACCTGATAAATAGAATGAAGAGGTGGATTCTAACCGGTCAATTAGGTCATAGTCTCTCTTCCTGCCTGGAGGCGGGACCTACTTTCTCTCTGCTATGCCTTGGTGTTGTCAAGCCACATGGAGCGACATGTTTCCACCATCACTGGACCCACAATTCTTTCTACCCACTGAACTGTGATCTTCCTGTATTCAATATCATTGCATGTACTGCATGAATCTGAAGAGGAATTTATAGACTAGTATCAGACATAAGGGCTAATATCAGATTTATGGACTTTATCTAGACTGGGATGGGATTTTTTCTTAATATACAATTGCTTTCTGATATAAAGTTCTCCATTACACACATAGTGTCTCTGGATTTGTTTTTTTAGTAAACTTGGACTAACACACTTGATCTCTAAACATATACAGAGAATTCCACCTAACAGAATGCACAGTATACATTCTTCTCCAGTTCACATTGTTCAAACTTTAGAATAGGCCATATGTTAGGCAACACAGCAAGCCTTACTAAATTAAAAAAAAAAAAAGATCCTGCAAGCCATGTTCTCAGACCACAATGCTATAAAACTGGGAACATAAAGTAAAAAGAATAAGAACATAAACCATATGGAGCATGAACAGCATACTACAGCAAAATGACTGATCAAATAGGCGATGAAATTAAGAAATTTATTCAAACAAATAAGAATGATAACAACATACCAAAACATATGAGGTATATCAAATGAAGTTATTAGAGGGCAACTGATAGCAATCAATGCACACATAAAAAAAGAGGACAAATCCAAAAGCAACATCTTAACACAATTCTTCCAACAAATAGAGTAAGTGCAACAATATAAATCATCCAATAATAAGACAAAATAAATAAAAAAGATTAAAGCAGAAATAAATAAACTGGAAAATAGAAAAATAATGGAGATTATCAGCAAAACAAAAAGGTGGTGCTTTGAAGGATTAACAAAAATTTACCAACCACTAGCAAATTTAGCAAAGGAAAAGAAATGAGAAGATGCTAATATCTAAGATTAGAGATGAAAAGACGACATCACAACAGATAAAAATGAAATAAAAAGGATAATAACACTAGGAAAGACCAGCTTGATAATCTAGAATAAACAAATGACTAGATACCATCTATGCAAATTAATGAAGACAGATGTTGAAAATGTGAACAGATATATAACACAAGAAGAAATAGAGACAATTATCAAGAAATTTCCAACCAAGAGAAACCTAGGATCTGATGGATTCACAGGGAAATTCTACTAAGTATTCAGGGAAGAGGTATTTCCAATTCTACACATATTTTCTGGAATGCAGGGAAAAATGCATATTCTCAGACTTGAATTCTCTGAAGTAA